ACGAGCTGACTGGGATATTGCTGGAGACATGGACGAACTGACTGACTGGGAGATTGCTGGAGACATGGACGAGCTGACTGGAAGATTGCTGGAGACATGGACGAGCTGACTGGAAGAATTCTGGAGATATGGACGAGCTGACTGGGAGATAGCTGGAGACATGGACGAACTGACTGACTGGGACACTGTTAGAGACATGGACGAGCTGACTGACTGGGAGATTGCTGGAGACATGGACGAACTGACTGACTGGGAGATTGTTAGAGACATGGACGAACTGACTTACTGGAAGATTGCTGGAGACATGGACGAACTGGCTGACTGGGACATATTGTTGGAGACATAAACGAGCTGACTGGGAGGTTGTTAGAGACATAGACGAACTGGCTGACTTGGAGATTGCTGGAGACATAGACGAACTGGCTGACTGGGAGATTGTTAGAGACATGGACGAACTGACTGACTGGAAGATTGATGGAGACATGATTGAACTGGCTGACTGGGAGATTGATGGGGACATCGACGAATTGACTGACTGGGAGATTGTTGGAGACATAGACGAACTGACTGACTGGGAGATTGCTGGAGACATGGACGATCTGGCTGAGTGATCGCTGGAGATATAGACGAACTGGCTGACTGGGAGATTGCTGGAGACATGGACGAACTGACTGACTGTGAGATTGCTGGAGACATGGACAAACTGAATGACTGGAAGATTGCTGGAGACATGGACGAACATACTGACTGGGAGATTGCTGGAGACATGGACTAACTGACTGACTGGGAGATTGTTAGAGACATGGACAAGCTGACTGGGAGATTGTTAGAGACATGGACAAGCTGACTGGGAGATTGTTAGAGACATGGACTAACTGACTGACTGGGAGATTGTTAGAGAACTGACTGGGAGATTGTTAGAAACATGGACGAACTGACTGACTGGGAGATTTTTAGAGACATGGACAAGCTGACTGACTGGGAGATTGTTAGAGACATAGACGAACTGACTGGGAGATTGTTAGAGACATGGACGAATTGACTGACTGGGAGATTGTTAGAGACATGGACGAACTGACTGACTGGGAGATTGCTGGAGACATGGACGAACTGACTTACTGGAAGATTGCTGGAGACATGGACGAACGAACTGACTGACTGGGAGATTGTCAGAGTCATGGACGAACTGGCTGACTGGGAGATTGCTGGAGACATGGACGAACTGACTGACTGGGAGATTGCTGGAGACATGGACGAACTGACTGACTGGGAGATTGCTGGAGACATGGACGAACTGACTGACTGGGAGATTGCTGGAGACATGGACGAACTGGCTGACTGGGGATTGCTGGAGATTGCTGGCTGAGAGATTGCTGGAGACATGGACGAACTGACTGACTGGGAGATTGCTGGAGACATGGACGAACTGACTGACTGGGAGATTGTTAGAGACAAGGACGAACTGACTGGGAGATTGTTAGAGACATGGACGAGCTGACTGACTGGGAGATTGCTGGAGACATGGACGAACTGACTGACTGGGAGATTGCTGGAGACATGGACGAACTGACTGACTGGGAGATTGTTAGAGACATGGACGAACTGACTGACTGGGAGATTGCTGGAGACATGGACGAACTGACTGACTGGGAGATTGTTAGAGACATGGACGAACTGACTGACTGGGAGATTGTTAGAGACAGGACGAAACTGACTGACTGTTATTGGGAGATTGTTAGAGACATGGAGAGAACTGACTGACTGGGAGATTGCTGGAGACATGGACGAACTGACTGACTGGGAGATTGTTAGAGACATGGACGAACTGACTGACTGGGAGATTGTTAGAGACATGGACGAACTGACTGACTGGGAGATTGTTGGAGACATGGACGAACTGACTGACTGGGAGATTGCTAGAGACATGGACGAACTGACTGACTGGGAGATTGTTAGAGACATGGACGAACTGGCTGACTGGGAGATTGCTGAGACATTGGAGACATGGACGAACTGACTGACTGGGAGATTGCTGGAGACATGGACGACTGACTGACTGGAGACATGGACGATGACTGGGTTGGAGAGACATGGACGAACTGACTGACTGGGAGATTGCTGGAGACATGGACGAACTGACTGGGAGATTGCTGGAGACATGGACGAGCTGACTGGGGAGATTGCTGGAGACATGGACGACGCTGACTGGGAGATTGCTGGAGACATGGGACGAGACTGACTGACTGGGAGATTGCTAGAGACATGGACGAACTGACTGACTGGGAGATTGCTGGAGACATAGACGAACTGCTGACTGGGAAGATTGCTGGAGACATGGACGAGCTGACTGGGAGATTGTTAGCAGACATGGACTGACCGGGAGATTGCTGGAACTGACGAACTGACTGGGAGATTGTTAGAGACATAGACGAACTGCTGACTGGGAGATTGTTAAGAGACATGGACGAACTGACTGACTGGGAGATTGTTAGAGACATGGACGAGCTGAACTGACTGGGAGATGTTTAGAGACATGGACGAACTGACTGGCTGAGATTGTTAGAGACATGGACGAGCTGACTGACTGGGAGATTGTTAGAGACATAGACGAACTGGCTGACTGGAAGATTGTTAGAGACATGGACGAACTGACTGACTGGGAGATTGTTAGAGACATCGACGAACTGACTGACTGGGAGATTGTTAGAGACATCGACGAACTGACTGACTGGGAGATTGCTGGAGAAATGGACGAACTGACTGACTGGGAGATTGTTAGAGACATGGACGAACTGGCTGACTGGGAGATTGTTAGAGACATGGACGAACTGGCTGACTGGGAGATTTTTAGAGACATGGACAAACTGATTGGGAGATTGTTAGAGACATGGACGAACTGGCTGACTGGGAGATTGTTAGAGACATGGACAAACTGATTGGGAGATTGTTAGAGACATGGACGAACTGGCTGACTGGGAGATTGCTGCAGAAATTGACGACTGATCAGGCGGATTGAATAGTAGGGCTGAGGCAGAAGGGTGAGCGGACAGACATATAAACAGGTAGACAGAAAAACAGAAAGGCAGACAGATAACGTGGAAATAACAAAGACAACAACAAAGACAAAAACGAATGATTAACGTACAGACGGTCTGACGGATGGACAGACGGACGACCAAGTGGACAGACATTCAGACAGACTGGCTAGCTGACCACTAGACATACAATGTTCTTATGTGTTTATGCAGAAATAACCATAAATCACACAGCCACCAGACACAGCGACAACGTGTCTTGGGGATCCTTCTCTAAAGTCGACGTCATTACATGCACAATCGATTACCTTTAATTAGAATGTCATGCAACTGATACGAGACCAGATATCAGGAATCGACCCCGGTAATTGTCATCCTGATTTATGTTCCAATTACATTATTTCTGAGCTGGTTCTCACTGGCTTACCTTATATGTGATCAGAATTGAAATGTTCTACCCATTACATCATTGCTATGCAATCTCTCTCCCCCCTCCCCCTTCCCCCTTTGATACAAAGCTGCTCTGGCGGCTTTCAGTGGGTGCAATGAATGTCCCGGATAATAACTTTGATCTCATCAATCCAGTTATTGTTGAAGTTTTCAAAGCTGGGCCACATGTTTCAATCTTGATATTTTTAAGCAGAACCAAAAAAACATAATTTTTTTTTTTAGCAGCAGCTGCTGAGGAATCGGCCAAAAGACAAAAGACAAATTTTGATACAAGTGGACACGGATTTCTACTCCACTTTTTCTTCTGAAAGTGTACATCAACATTTTGTTGGCTTGTTGTTGTAGTTGTTGTTGTTGTTGCCAGCATTAGGTGGCCAATCTTGCACTATCAGCTCGCTCCATTAAATATGTATTTGTCCATAAAGTTTTTCTTCAACAGGGGCAGGCATTTTTTTGGTGACCAGAATTTGAAATTTTGTTGCAAAATTTCTAACACGCACCAAAAATCGGACGTGGTACCAAAGGTACAGTTTTGCTGGGCTACCAACTTAAGCAGCCCTGCGCATGAGTCGATAGCAGAGTTTCTGGACACTAGGACTCAGGCACCTCAGCGTTTGTTATAATGAAAATGGGGTGGGGGGGGCTGGCGGGGCCAGGGCCTCAGCCGTTTGTAAGGTGTTACTTTGTTCCCCTCTTTGAGTGTTTACTTAGTATTTGACTCTAAGAGTTCATTGATGGTTAATGTCCTAACTGAACTGTGGACATACTGTGACAAGGACAACGCATTTCAAATTCTTTACACATCGTCCAGTGGCAGAGCGCTCAGATTTCTTGAAGCCGCCACGATTCGTTACCTCCGTCCCGAACTTTGTAAACAGAAAGACATGGTCGTGACCTTGCGGTTACCCTGGGAAAACAGGCAATCGAGTGTGGTTGAATTTGTTAATTGTAAAGGATTAAATTATTTGCTTCATTTATTGAATCGTTACTGTGGTGTGCAACTGATGAGATGCAGCGAAATATGCCAGGGAATAAATTGTGCAATATATTGTTTGTGTTTTCTTCGTTCAAATTTCCGACTGACCAACATTCGATACTGGCTAAGTCGATGAAATGAAGCTGGTGAGCATCTAGGAAGAGGTGCCCCTTCTATTTTCCAGGAGGAGGAGGAGGAGGAGGAGGAGGAGGAGGGGGGGGGGGGGGGGGGAGTCATTGTGGTGAAAACAAGTAAAGACCCAAGCCTACCCAAAAGCATGTCGTAAGAGTCGACTAATTGGGAGCCTTCTTCGAAGTCAGAGTGCATCTGTCAAGGAACCAACATTCTGCATACATATGCGTCAGATCTGTAAAACAGATACGCACGCAATACTGTGGTTTTGGAACCAGACTAGAGCTCAGAAGTGAAAGAACAACCAGAACTTTCTGTCGAAGTTTACAGCGCAGTCGGTGAATACGAAGAAGCAGAAAGGGGTTAGTCGGGAGGTCGGGGGGGGGGGGGGGGAGAATAACAACCCATCATAGGCTGGTAGAATTGATGTAATGGCTAATGTAACAAGTGGTAGAATTGATGTCATGGCTAATGTAACAAGTAATAGAATTGATGTCATGGCTAATATCACAAGTGATAGAATTGATGTCATTGCTAATATCATAAGTGATAGAATTGATGTCATGGCTAATATCACAAGTGATAGAATTGATGTAATGGCTAATATCACAAGTGATAGAATTGATGTCATGGCTAATGTCACAAGTGATAGAATTGATGTCATGGCTAATGTAACAAGTGATAGAATTGATGTCATGGCTAATGTCACAAGTGATAGAATTGATGTAATGGCTAATGTCACAAGTGATAGAATTGATGTCATGGCTAATATCACAAGTGATAGAATTGATGTCATGGCTAATATCACAAGTGATAGAATTGATGTCATGGCTAATATCACAAGTGATAGAATTGATGTCATGGCTAATGTCACAAGTGATAGAATTGATGTCATGGCTAATGTCACCAGGTGAAATTTTCCTGACACCAATGTCAGATGTTAGGAAAGAAACATCATCGCCCACGCCTGTGTCAACATGACTCATCATGAATGATAAATTAAACAACGAAAAACTCCACTAACTGCAACACATACTTTATGTCATTTTGTAACGAATATCAAATCTGATTGTCTAGAATACTAAATTTGATTGTACAGAAAAAAAATCATATCTCATTACCAAGACTAATGTCTGAGACTACAGGCTGAATGGGCGTGTTGTGGTCCCAAAGTGATATCCTCCAAACCTGAGTTTATGCGCAGAAATGGTCCCTTTTGTTGTCACCTCCTGGGTGTTTTCATTTGGCGGGGCCCATTGTTCGACTCGTGATTGGATTTCATTTATCCCACTTCCGGTGGCAAGCACCAATGAAAGTTGTCCGTTGGTGGAAGATTCTATTATTTATTGGTGGGTAGATCAATATTTCCTGATTGCAAAAGTTGGTTTGAAAATGCCACGGATTAACCGTTTATTGAGGGATATTTTTCGTCGATTATTATTCTTTTTTTCACCACAGGAAGCCAAGAAATCGAGACTTGGGGCCGATAGAGCTGTGATTAATCAATAAATCTTGAAGGGATTTTTGTACCAGATTATTACAAGTTTAATGACCCGAGCCTTCAACTTGAAAAGAGAGATGTAAAACTGCGGTTTCCCCATCAGAAAGCTAATTTAATGGCGTATAGATTTTACATCAACTGAAGCATGCCTGTCTTGGCTGTTCTTCAGAACTAGAGAGGCAGGAGAGACCATCAGAGAGCCAGGCAGGAAACGGAGAGAGAACTGGGAGGCAGGATAGAAGGAATGGATTGCTGGACAATTTTAAATTGTCCTACGCAGAAATAAAACTGCGCCCACCAGATGTGGCCCTATTGTTTCCGTCCAGTTGTCTGTGCCCACTAGTTGTAGCCTTGTTGTTTCCGTCCAGTTGTCTCTGCCCACAGATGTCACCTTGTTGTTTACGTCCAGTTGTCTCTGCCCACAGATGTCACCTTGTTGTTTACGTCCAGTTGTCTCTGCCCACAGATGTCACCTTGTTGTTTACGTCCAGTTGTCTCTGCCCACAGATGTCACCTTGTTGTTTACGTCCAGTTGTCTCTGCCCACAGATGTCACCTTGCTGTTTTACGTCCAGTTGTCCTCTGCCCACAGATGTCACCCTTGTTGTTTACGTCCAGTTTGTCTCCTGCCCACCAGATTCGCGCAGATGTCAACCTTGTTTGTTTTACTGTTCCAGTCCAGTTGTCTCTGTCCCCACCAGATGTCATCTTGTTGTTTACGTCCAGTTGTCTCTGCCCACCAGATGTCGTGTTGTTGTTTACGTCCAGTTGTCTCTGCCCACCAGATGTCGTGTTGTTGTTTACGTCCAGTTGTCTGTGCCCACTAGTTGTAGCCTTGTTGTTTCCGTCCAGTTGTCTCTGCCCACCAGATGTCACCTTGTTATTTACGTCCAGTTGTCTCTGCCCACCAGATGTCACCTTGTTATTTACGTCCAGTTGTCTCTGCCCACCAGATGTCGCCTTGTTATTTACGTCCAGTTGTCTCTGCCCACCAGATGTCACCTTGTTATTTACGTCCAGTTGTCTCTGCCCACCAGATGTCACCTTGTTGTTTCCGTCCAGTTGTCTCTGCTTACCAGTTGTCGTCTTGTTCTTTCCGTCCAGTTGTCTCTGCCCACCAGATGTCACCTTGTTGTTTACGTCCAGTTGTCTCTGCCCACCAGATGTCATCTTGTTGTTTACGTCCAGTTGTCTCTGCCCACCAGATGTCGTGTTGTTGTTTACGTCCAGTTGTCTCTGCCCACCAGATGTCGTGTTGTTGTTTACGTCCAGTTGTCTGTGCCCACTAGTTGTAGCCTTGTTGTTTCCGTCCAGTTGTCTCTGCCCACCAGATGTCACCTTGTTGTTTACGTCCAGTTGTCTCTGCCCACCAGATGTCACCTTGTTATTTACGTCCAGTTGTCTCTGCCCACCAGATGTCGCCTTGTTATTTACGTCCAGTTGTCTCTGCCCACCAGATGTCACCTTGTTATTTACGTCCAGTTGTCTCTGCCCACCAGATGTCACCTTGTTGTTTCCGTCCAGTTGTCTCTGCTCACCAGTTGTCGTCTTGTTCTTTCCGTCCAGTTGTCTCTGCCCACCAGTGGACTCCTTATTGTTTCCGTCTAGTTGTCTCTGTACCCGGGATGTTTGAAAATTAGTTGCAGTTGACTCACCAGGGCTTTGCCAGTCAACTCCTGCTTTTGTTGACTGGGATTGTTTACTGTTCAAGTTTAAGTTCAGTAGTTGCAACTGAATATTTGAATGATCGACATGCATACTTTAAAGTAAAGTGGTCTGCTGTCCAAATCGCTTGCAGCACACTTGATTCCTTTATGCTGAAATTATGAAATTGCTTGAAAAGTCCTAAGTCACAATGGAGCACGGTAACTGTCCCTAATGGAGCACGGTAACTGTCCCTAATGGAGCACGGTAACTGTCCCTAATGGAGCACTAAACTTGTGTCCCCTGGCAGAGCACAAGGCTTCAATAAACACACTTAAAGACTTCCAGTTTAACACTGCCTCTGCAACACGCTCTGTGTACCCCTGGTATGACCCGTCTGTCTATTATTCTTGTCTTTATGTCATTTTAATTATCCTTCTATTTCTGTTGGCTGTCAGTTGTAGAGATAGGGCCTTCTAGTCTTTCAGAACAATAAAGTTACGTAACATTTCAGAACATGAGGATGTCATGGCAACGGCAACCCTTGTCAGTGCCGGGAGAACATGAGGGAATCATGGGAACGGCAACCCTTGTCAGTGCCGGGAGAACATGAGGAGGTCATGGCAACGGCAACCCTTGTCAGTGCCGGGAGAACATGAGGAGGTCATGGCAACGGCAACCCTTGTCAGTGCCGGGAGAACATGAGGGAATCATGGGAACGGCAACCCTTGTCAGTGCCGGGAGAACATGAGGAGGTCATGGCAACGGCAACCCTTGTCAGTGCCGGGAGAACATGAGGAGGTCATGGCAACGGCAACCCTTGTCAGTGCCGGGAGAACATGAGGGAATCATGGGAACGGCAACCCTTGTCAGTGCCGGGAGAACATGAGGGAATCATGGGAACGGCAACTCTTGTCAGTGCCTGGAGAACACGAGGAGGTCATGGGAACGGCAACTCTTGTCAGTGCCTGGAGAACACGAGGAGGTCATGGGAACGGCAACCCTTGTCAGTGCCGGGAGAACATGAGGACGTCATGGGAACGGCAACCCTTGTCAGTGCCGGGAGAACATGAGGAGGTCATGGCAACGGCAACCCTTGTCAGTGCCTGGAGAACATGAGGAGGTCATGGGAACGGCAACCCTTGTCAGTGCCGGGAGAACACGAGGAGGTCATGGGAACGGCAACTCTTGTCAGTGCCTGGAGAACATGAGGAGGTCATGGGAACGGCAACCCTTGGCGATGGCGGGAGAACATGAGGAAATCATGGGAACGGCAACCCTTGTCAGTGCCTGGAGAACACGAGGACGTCATGGGAACGGCAACCCTTGGCGATGGCGGGCTGGACCAGCAAGACCTGCTCACGATTTAAAAAAAATGTCTTCCAGAACTGGAGTAGAAACTTTGAGGACCGTTGAGGAGGTTAGATGTTTACGACTGTCGTCTCAAACTGCCAGCTAGTATCCCATCAGCAACTATTTTCTTCTTTGCCCACAATTGCATCCTAATTCCGCCATCCATGCAACGGTTTCCTTGGTATAGCCTTGGTATCCTTGGCATTCTGTTTCAATAAATACTCAATACCTCTATCATTCCTGTCTCTGTTGCAAATCTTGTTATTGAAGTAGCAGTCTACCTCGAATCATTTGCAATTCACCATTGAGTATACTCTCAGTGACTCTGCCAGCCCCCATGCTCCGCGTGTGTCCTTGCAGTCTTTTAGAACTTAATGGCCATCAGCATCTCACTTATGTTTCCTACAGTCAATTAAAGCCTCTTGTCTGTCCGGCTTTTTTGTCTGTAATATGGCAGAAATGACATTCAGTAAAACCCTAAATTAAACCAGCAAACAGAATTACAGACATTAAAAATGTTGTAAAGGCAGCTTCCCCCCCCCCCTCCTCCCCCCTTTTTTTCTCTCCCTCTTCTTCCTTCAGTAAACTTTATTTATATTTATTTTGAAAGCTAAAACAGGATACATTAATGAGATCTGTCAATTCTGGATTAGTTTAAAGTGAGCTTTTCCTAGAAAAGGCATCGATTTGAAGCCAGTTGTTCAGACAAGTCAACGGACCTGTGAACAAACAGACGCTTTAGAATTTCTGTGCGTGACGTCACTTCCGTGGAAGTTATGGGCGGTGATCTTTGAATTGACAAGAGCGGCCTGTGAGGGACAAAATGTCTGCACATTCGAGATAATATAATCCGCCAACATCACCAGCTGATTTGTAACGTTCGATCAATTCAATTTGGGGGGATCTGGTGTCCCTAACACGTGTTTTACAGCGCCACGGATCTCTTCTCCCGTTAGTTCATCCGCTTGTAATTGCTGCAGACCTGCCGGAAGTTGTTTTATTCATCAGAATTATTGCGCATATTCTTGGCGC